AAAAATGATTTCAAACATGAGAACAACAAAACAACATGTAAGCTAGTTAATATAGGATTGTGAGACATCTCTTCATTGTACCCTTCAGGGTACTGGTAAATCCTCTACATTTAATATAGCTAGAGTCTCCTGGGGGGAGAGCGTGAGATTTGTGAATAGATCTATTCGGGACCAACAATGCCACACCTGAACTGTTAGATACAATTAGGCAGGCATGTCTGGGGTGACAAATTTCGTAACATACAATGCCTGAAGAAACGTCGCGGAGGTCACCAGTCATATTAGCATGGTTATACAAACTCACAATAGTATAAGCTAACCTTTATTTACTGGCTTTTAATTCTTCAGTAGTTTTATTTTAATTAATAAGACTACTACATACTACATTGGAGGGTATTCCAAGGATACAACACTTGGTTTTATTTTAATTAATAAGACTACTTTACATACTAGCGGTAGTCAGGGTTTTCAAACAAAGTGAAGTTCGCAGCTTGCACCTTCACAGACAGAGCACTAATCTGGTGGAATGGTCGGGTCAAATACCTAACCCTTCCCGTGGCGAATTCTATGGGTTGGGAAAGTTTGAAGGAACTTATGCTCGCGGAATACTGCCCAAGGGGTGAAATGTAGAAACTGGAGCACGAGCTTTGGAATCTTAAGATGAAGGGTTCTGACATTACTGCATACACGGCTAGATTCTATGATCTAGCTCTTTTGTATCTAAGAATGGTCACCCCAGAAAGCAAAAAGATAGAAAGATACATTTGGGGATTGATGCCCCCAACTCAAGGAAACATTTTGGCTGCTAGGCCTACCACTTTTGATAGCGCCAAGTGCATGGTGCAGACCTTGATAGATCATGGGGTTGATCTGGATGAAGTGGCAGCCGCTCCCGAACCAGCGAAGGCGAGTGGTGGGAAGAGAAAGTTATTGAAATAGCGTAAGGGCCAATCTTCGCAGCAGCCCTCCAAGAAACAAAAAACGGTAGCAGTCCATGCTGCCACCGCTCTTGGCGCTATTCCTGCAGCCCAAGTGCCTAACAGCGGATATACTAGTACCCTCGCTCGATGCAGCAAGTGCAATTACTATCATAATCCTGGCCCTTGCCATAGAATGCTATGCAAAAACTGTGGCAAGAAGGGGCACACAACTCGTTTTTGCAAAACACCAGTCAAACCAACTAATCAGGCCCCTAGAGCAGGTGTTGCCCAAGTCTATTATGGATGTGGGGAAGTAGGGCATTATAAGATAAATTACCCCAAGGCAACACCTGGCAACACAGGGAGAGTACTAACCATGGGGCAAGAGGAGGCAGTTGCTGACCCTACCGTTGTTACGGGTACATTACTCCTTGATAACTCTTATGCATACATTCTTTGCGATTCTGGTGCGGATAGAAGTTTTGTTAATCATGCATTCAAGCATCTTCTCAAACATAAACCCGAACCTCTAACCGAAACATTTACCGCTAAGATGGCTAATGGTGAGAAAGAGAGCACTAACAACATATTCCTCTGCTATTCCTTTACCCTGAATGACCATTCCTTTCCCATCGACCTTATGCTAGTTCCTATAAAGAGTTTCGATGTCATCACGGGCAAGGATTGGTTGAGCCCCAATCATGCTGATATCCCATGTTATGAAAAAACCATTCGTCTCAATCATCACTATGGTGAAACCCTCATTATTTATGGCGATAAAGTCAGCTTGAACCTTCGTATCATTTCATGTATCAAAGCTCGGAAATTTCTGTGAAATGCGTGTCATGCGTTCCTAGCCTATGTGGTTAACAAAAAATCAGGATGTTAAAGACCTCGATAGCATCCCCAAACTTTGCAAGTTTCCTGATGTCTTTCCCGGAGAGCTTCTGAGAATACCTCCAGAGCGTTAAGTCGAGTTTTGCATCGACCTAATCCCCGGAGCTATTCCTGTAGCCAAATCCCCATACCATTTAGCGCCAGCTGAAATGAAAGAGTTATCCAGCCAGCTCAATGAGTTACTCAACAAAGGATTCATCAGACCGAGTTCCTCACCCTGGGGAGCCCCGGTCTTATTTATGAAAAAAAAAGGTTGTATCTTTTCGGATGTGCATTGACTATCGCGAACTGAACAAGCTCACCGTCAAAAACCATTATCCTCTTCCTCGAATCGACGACCTCTTCGACCAACTTCAAGGAGCCGGCTACTTCTCAAAAATAGACTTAAGATTAGGGTAACATTAGTTGCGAGTCCACGAGGGTGATGTTCCTAAGATAGCATTTCAGACTCAATTTGGTCACTACGAGTTTGTAGTAATTCCCTTTGGTCTAACGAACGCACTGGCGCTATTCATGGATTTGATGAATCGGTTGTGCCACCCTTTCTTAGACAAGTTCATAATAGTGTTCATTGACGATATACTTGTCTATTCTCGAAGCGAGGAAGGTCATAAACAACACTTGAGGTTAGTGCTGAAAACTTTAAGGGCGGAGAAGCTATATGCGAAATTCTCCAAGTGTGAATTTTGGATACAAAAAGTAATTTTACTTGGTCACGTTGTAAGCGAGGAAGGCATACACATGGAACCTTCCAAAATCAAAGCGATAGAAATTGGTCAGCACTGATGACACCCACGGAAATCCATCAATTCTTGGGCCTCGCTGGCTATTATCGCAGGTTTATCCATAATTTCTCCAGGATAGCCAAACCCTTAACCACTCTGACTCAGAAAGGTGTACCCTTTGGTTGGAGTGAAAAGCAAGACATTGTGATCCAAACATTGAAGTAGGCCCTATGCAGCGCACCTATCCAGTCTCTGCCCGAAGGGACGGAGGACTTCGTTGTCTATTGTGATGCATCCAATCAAGGCCTAGGCTGTGTGCTCATGCAACGAGGAAAGGTTATTGCTTATGCCTCAACACTAGTACAAAAATGGGTTATGGTCACACCAAAAAATTGTGACCATATGCCTATAGTCACTCTTTTTTTTCATTGACAGTGTCACCGAAGACCATGCCATTTTAGGCGCCATACGACCACTTTTAAGTTTAGTGGCTATATCATATGAAACACTGTTACCATAGCATAAATGTGTGGTTATAGGGTGAAGTTTTTTGTTGTTGTAATCTATCATTTTATCCAATATTGTGACTGTAAACCCTTTATAGACACACCTTCTAGTTATTTTAGTGACAATCTTTCATGGAATGGCCACATGAAGTTATTTTCACTCTGGCGTATTGATAATAATTCGTCACACAAAAAAATGTTCATTATGACTATTGACTATCTTTTAGAGACACAAAATTAAGCGAAGCATGACCATATTCAACAAATTGCCACATGAATTTATTTACACTATGATGTTTTGCTAATAATTTGTCACACAAAAAAAATTATGACTATTAACAATCTTTTAGACATGCATAATAAAATAAATCATGACCATGTTCCCAAAATGGTCACATAAATTTATAATTTCAATGACCAAAAGTATTTTAAAGACACATACTATTTTTTTAACTATGTTTATCCAATAACTTTCCGCTACATATGTATACTTTATCATGACCATTGCTATGATTCAAACATATAAAAAGTCGTAAGTGTGGTTATTTTATATCTTTTCTACATAGAAAATCAATTAAACATGATTGTAATTGATTTATAGACACAAAAGTATATATAATAGTGGCTAATATTCATCTTATGAACATAACAATTTGTTTTATGTATGACCGGTTTTATCATTTAGACATTAAAAAAATTGTAGAGTGTGACTATTGTTTTTATTATAGTCACATATACATACTTAAACCATAGTTGTAAATATCGTACAGTTACATAATGTTTTTATAACTATGACTATTATATAACATACAGCCACATGAATGTAGAAATAAGTGACAGATATTAAGATTTTAACATACATTTATCTACATTGACAATACTATTTAGTTTTTAGTCATGTATATTAAATTGAAGCATGACTATAAAATCATTGTAGATACACAACTAATGTTTATTGTGCTTATTGTTTAGTGTTTAACCACACAAAATTTTCATAACAATAACATTTATTATCCTTTAGACACACATATAGTTTTCAATGTGGCTATTGATCATAATTTAGATATCGCGAATCAATACAATCGTAACCATTAGTGTTGTATCGACACTCAAATTCATTCACCATGACTACATTTACCCTATTGTGATATTACTTATAGTCACAAGATTATTAAATAGAATGACATGTGTATCTTTTCCGAGACACAAAAATTTTCAATGTTGTATTTCTTTTACTTTTAGTCACATATGTTTAATTAAAAGTGACTATCAAACATATGTAGACACATATTGAGTTTCTATCATTACTATTGTTAACCCTTTAGTCACACGACACAATTTTTTGTAAAGTAACAATTATATACATTTTAGTGACAAAACATAATAAAACATGATGGTAAAATTATTACAGACACATGGAATAAAAAACAATGTTAAATAAATGTAACCATAAATGGACAATTTGAAATGAAAAAAAAAAGATCAATATTAATAATAATTCGAATGAAAATTCTCATATATAATTTCCCTAGTTAAAAGGTAAAAATCCTTGTAATCAAAACAAGTTTACTTAAATAAGCTAAAGAAAAGAAAAAAAGGCATAAACTAAAAACTAGATTTGTTTAGCCTTGTTGAAAGTGCTCCTTGTATGCTTGCCAATGCTATCTCTCGTTATAAAACATTTTTTTGCTTCTTGGAGCTTTTACATTCATCATATTGACTTGATCTCATTTGTGGTATCTGTAGAAACATTGAACCAAACTTGAATAACTAAAAATTTAAAGAAGTAATTTCCAAAGGAAAAAAGTTTAATCCATAAAGTAGTTAATAGAAGAAACAAACCTTTTCGTCACATTTGACAAGGTATTTTGTCCATGCAACAAAAGTTTTATATGCCTCCTCAACTGTTTTGATATCACCATTTTGATATGGTAAAAATGCAACTCCCTTTATCACTTTATCAATTGATACTTTATAGCAGTCGTCTTGAAGTGGAACTCCATGAATGGCTTGTCTTTCTGAAGAGATGTAAATTGTACCATAAGCAATGTTGCTTCTGTTATTTGGATATTATAGAATGCACTTCATCATCTTCATTGTCTACAATGATTGCACATATTTAGATAAAAAAGAATAAACATATATTTATATTTGCATTTTAAAATACATACCTGTGGGAGTTTTGGTGAATGAGTATCTTTTGTTTTTGGATGTGACTTTGTAGTCACACTCTTAGATTCAATAGTTCTTTTACCGGTTTTTGTCATTACCTAGAAAACAATAATTCAATAATATATGGAAATCAGAAAATACTACAAAAAATATTAAAATCAATGAATTTTTCAAATAATTACTTACTAAGTACTACAAAGAAAATATTAAAATCAATGAAATTATCAAATAATTACTTACTCGTGTAACTGGTTCATTTGTCAATGCTTTATCTGTGATAGGTACTTTCTCTATGATAGTATTAGTAACAAGAGTGACATGAGATTCAACATTCTTGTCCACTAAAAAGACCTACAAAATTGAAGGAAAATGGTCAATTTATGCAATAAATGCATTTTGCAAAAACAATAACAATTCACTTACTTGTGTTGGATACTGATTCGGATGAGATGTTAGATTTGGTATCATTGTTCCTTGTGATTCAAGATGAGCTAAAACTAGCTTTAGTGTTTTATCTTGTTCTGTCACCTTTGTTGACAACGCTTTAAGTTCTTCATCTTTTTTCGGAAGCTCAAGTCTCTTATTCTGTAGTTCAAACTTTAGGTCCGCAATTTGTTCTTTTGAAGATCCTTTGGTTCTAGGAATATTGAAATATCTACTAGCAGTCACACCTGTGCCAACCCCTTTTAAGAATCCACCATTATCCTTGCCAAAGACTAGTCACGTGGCATCCATCCCAGGATCAAGCATCATATCTCCATCTTTAATTTGTTTTTCATGTTCCACCTGTACACAAAATGATATCAAAATAACATCGTCAATATTTATTTAACAAGTCACATTTATTATAGTAATCAAACAACCAAGGAGAAAGTTTCAATAACTTACTAGTTTTTCTGCCATGAGTTTTACATTAGCATCTTCTATTTCGCCTACTTTGTTTTCACGTCCTTTACACCACATTAATGATCGGGGTGGCATTTCATCTTTGGCAATTACTTTACTATTTACCTAGTAATCATAGTTTTCAACTCGTAAAGTACTTTATATATATATATATATATATATATATATTATATATATATATATATATATATGTATATATTACTCCTATTTATACTAAACATGAAAGAAATATAGTTAAATACATCCAATGGAAAAACAAAACTTAAACAAATACCAAAACTTAAAATAGTGAAACTTTTCCCAAAATACCCATGGCATTAAAATTGTCCCAATTTTTAATTACTCCAACAATGGTGGCATACTAAATTCACTTTTTAGTAAAGAATGTACTTCAAAACTTGAAAGTATAATACTCTAATTGGTAGTTCCACTTTCACAGTTTTGACTAACAAACACATATAGACATATATAATTGAATAAAATATAGAACTTACCACTTTTTCTCTTAAAGTCGTATATACTCCCTGTCCCATCCGGTGATTGTAATTCGTTCGACTTAGAACGCGCTTCTATCGTCTTTGTCGACATATCCTTCCAAAAAAAATAAATTCATCGATCTTATAATTATTTTTTATTTTCAGAAACTATAAAATAAAAGTGATTATTGTATGATATCGTTTAGGGATTCTTTTAAGCTTGGTGGTATTCCCTAAATTGGGCTTTATGTACTTGCATACAATTTTCTTCTAAAATTCCGTAGAAGGATACCAAGCCGATTCATTATATATTTTCTCCGACTATCTTCAATTCCATAAAAACGCTAAAATACGAATAATTAATATGTTAGGCGTTGAATCATGAATGAAATTGAATTGGAGAAAAACAATAACATATGGGCTACATATAAAAAATCATTATTTACCGTTATCTCTTCCCATAGTTTTTCCTTGACTTCTTTTGTTACGTTCTTCAAGTTGAAAACACTAACTCCTACCCTTTCCCGTACTAGGTCTCCCAGATAACTAGGTAGTTGTGATCTATACTTCCCTGGAAACCTTCCAAATTCATTAAACTTTACATGTTTTTTTCTTCCACCGAAATTTGTATGTTTGGTCCGTAACTTTGGCAATCGAGTCAATCCCCTCTTCCTTGTTTTATTTGTAGTCTTTGTTGTTATTGGAATCACCGGAAGTGTAATCAAATTTGTCTTCATGTTCTGAATCATCTAGATCAGATCCATCATATTGGTCCTCCTCTTCCATTTCCAATATAGGCACATCTTCAATCAATATGTTTTCTCCTTCCATAATGCTTAATTAAACATGAAAAAATAACATACAAGTTATATTAGTATGTCATTAAGGAATAAGATACCATACAATGATATTTAATATAAAATTTTGATTTAGGCTTTTCATCAACCAATTGGTGTGCAACAAGCACACTGTAGGCGCAATATGGTTCAAAATTGTGAAATTCCATAATATTTTGCAATAAAAACAGTTTGCAGGTTCCGGTATTAACCAAAACTATAAAAATTAAAAAAAAAATTATAAAAACATTGCATGGGCAATATGGTTAGAATTTTTAGCGCCAGTAGAAATGCAAGAGTAATCTAGAAGATAACCCAGTAGACCCCCTCACAAGGGGACTGAGTAAGATTAAGCATTTGCAGCATGCGAGGCACATCAGACTGAAAGACGATATTAGTTTCAATGATTAGATAGTTATTTCTGAACTTGTAATAGATAAAAGGTAATTGACATTTGATGATTAAATAAAAGTTTTTGTTTATTTATGAGTAAAGTTACTATCCTGTGTCAACTTTTTACTATTGTTTCAATTTTGCATGTTTTGACTTCCAGGATAATAAGATTATTCAAGCTATACACAGTCAATCATACATTGGGCGTAGGTATTGAAGCAAGACTATCATGAACTAGGATTATTGATGTATGAAGTGTTCAGAGATAGAAAATTTTGCTAAAACATTCATGAGTGCTCATAAGTTGTGAGTATTGGATTAAACCCATGCTAACTTGTATCACTTCATGGAATTTATCTCGATTGATCATGAGATGATTATATCACATAAGTCTTCAAACCAAGAGATATGAGTTATTGGCTATGGGTTGGTTATGCATTGATAGTAAGAAAACGCATCAGTAACTTAATGTTATAAAACATGCTGGTGTGTATGATTTGGTGAGTAGTTAGTATAAGCATATGAGTCAAAGTTTATCTGTTCCTTTTAGTCCTTAGAGGATTAAAAGCGATATCTTGGTCCCCTCAATGATGTTTTTGACTTATGTGTTGGGCCCGCTCAGAACTAAATTGATGTGTTCGATTAAGTTCTATATCAAGCAAATCGGAAATCGGGAAACAAACTGTTAGACATTAAATATGACGTTGTTCCATGTATTTGTTCGGCTGATATCTTGAGAACAGAGGATTATATGATCACTTGTCTAAAATAGTGCATCTTAGTTCGACAAAGTTTTAAGAGCTACGATTGTTGGTCGGTTCCTGAAGTAGTACTTGCAACTATATTTATTAGAGTTATCCAAGTGGGAGACTGTTCAATAAGGTGTCTAAGTCCATTACTATATTTGGTATGTACTTGACCCGATTTCGCATGGTCCATTTGGGTTGCATTTCACTGGAACAATTTGTAAGGATGGACTTTTGAGAAGAGGATATTTATGATTTATTAATATATTATAAGTTGTAATATATTAACATGAAATCATATTATTAGTATTGGTCAAGAACTAATTTGGAATTAATTTAGTGATCAAAAGGAGACTAATTAAATATGGATTCTTATAGAGTGGGCCAAAGGTTATTTAGGATGGGCTAAACCATTATGGAAGTCCATGGATAGTCCATGGAGGTTTTTACCCATGGATCCTAAGTAATATGAAAGGTAATGAGTATTATGGTTTACATGGATGTAACCCTAATCATGCCACACTATATAAGAACTCCTCTAGCTACTAAAATCGGCACTAGAGTGTGTGTCTAAAGAGCATAACCAATTTTTGTGTGCAAAGATACTTTCTCTCAAATCCTCCAATTGTTAGTGGTGATTTGTGGTTCCGTTTGTAGCATTCACATTGTTGGTGCTAGGCTCTTAAAGCTCCAAGTAATAAGCCACAAGAAAGTTATGTTATCTAACTAGTTTTATTATACAAGTATAAAAGTTTTGTATGCTAGTTATGGTAATGGTTTGGAAAAATCAAATTGTTTGTATAATTAGAGAAAACATAGATCCAAAGCATTTAGGGTTGTCTGTGCACCTTAAGGTAGTTAGAGTGCTCAAAACCCTTCAGGAGATTGGCGCCAGGTTTATCACCATAGATTATTAGGGATTCATGGTTGGCGAGGTGAAGGCGAATGGCCTTCTCGTGACACATAATGTCGGCATGATGGGGGCTCAACCAACCCATGCCTATAATCACATCAAAGCTTCTAATATCTACTCGCATCAAATTGATTTGAAATGAATGATTATTTAGCGTCAGTGTGCACCCTATGAATATATCTTTAGGTGTTTCAGTTTTCCTATTAGTCATCTCTATCGTGAAGGCCTCACTTAGCTTTTAGGGTTGAGATCTGTAGTACCAGGCGGTCTGCCCTTTGTGGTTGCAGTTGGTACACTGCATTTTTTTACACGCGCCATTGTGGTGGTAGTTGCATTTGTAACGTTTTGGTAAGGTTCCTGCGTAAGGCTTTGTAGTAGTTTGAGATGATGAGTCTGGAGCAGCTGGGGCTAGTGCAACTTAAACAGTAGTAGTGTGGACTGCTACGGTTTGCTTCTTTTTAGAAGATCCCTGGTTCTGTCGCCCCTTTCGTTTATTTTCCCCCATTCTTCTTGTTATTCTCTTCCTTCTTGGCCTTAGTATCAGCAGTTTTTGTACCTTTCTTTTTTTCGTAATCATAAATCTTCTGAGCTAGCCATTTTGCACTGTCAAAAGTCTCAGGGTTTGCTACAATCATGTTTCCTTGAATTGGAGGCGTTAACCCCCAAATGAATCGTTTGATCTTCTTTCCCTCTAAAGTGATCATACTTGGGCATAAATGTGCTAATTCACTGAATCTGGAGATGTAAGACTCGATGTTTGAGTTTTGCACTATGAGGTTCCATAACTCTTCCCAAGGCATAGCGTTTGCGACCGGGAAAGTCATGGTCTTCACATGAGCATTCCACTAGGATAGGGGTTGGTCAATAAATGTGCAGGCTGCGAACTTCACCTTGCTTTCTTCCAGACATTCGCAGATTTCAAAGACAGACTCGGTCTTCTTAATCCAGCGCTTCAAGGCTACCATGCCGCCGGTTCCATTGAATATTCGGGGTTTTGCATTAGAGAATTATTTGTAAGTAAAGACTTTTGCAGGCCCTTGATTCATTACCTAATTGGAGCTTCCCGTTCCTTGACCACTTATGCCACCATTGTTTCCATTTTGAATGTGAGCCAATGTTGTTGTGACTGTTGCCGAAACTGCTGCCTGGAAAGCAGCGGAGTTTATTTTCAGCAGGGTCAGCGGCAGGGGTGGTGCCACGTTCTTGTTTCTTTGTATCGGTCTTCGAGGCATCTTCCTAGTACATGAAAGAGAAAGAGAGTCCTATCGATAGTGGTGTTGATACTCAGATGTTGAAGTGACGAACTATAAGATCGACCAATTCACTCATCTCACAAAGGATCTCATCCTCCTTTTGCTCTACTCGAACTGCTCTAGCTTCGGCTGAAAGAGTTGTTGCTTTAGGGTGGCTACTTCTTCCTCTAGAGAGTGTATACAGTCAGTAGTGCTCCCTGCAATATGTGCTGGTTTAGTATGATTCCCGAAGGGTAGAGTTCACTAGGGGTTTCCTTAATGTCTTCTCCTTTATCTGACTCCTCGTCGGATTCACTATCCTCATAGTCCAATTCCATATACTCTTCGGGTCTCACTTCTAAATTTTCTTCTTGAACCATTTTTTATTCTCCTTCAATCCATCCATTGGTCACTAAGGCCTAGTAGTAGAGGTCGCCTTATGGAATTTCAGCCATGGTGCTTGTGCGAACATGGAAGCGTGAAAAGCGTGTAGGAAGTGTATGTACGATGGTTTTATGATATCCCAAAATGCTCCTATAGTATTTTAGTTGTTTCTGTTTGGTTCATCAATCCTTTGGGTATTAGGTTGACAAGTTTCAGATTCGTTGTCCATCCCGATCACTCCCAAACACATATCGGTCGTATTTTGAATAAATATACTTGATCAGACTATATTTACCCCCAATGTGATCACATGGCTGCCTAGGTTTAACTGCGATGTTCAACTCCTCTAAATACTTTTATTTTTTCTTATCGTGTCAGTACCCTAAAATGCACACATATGTATGTATTTTATTTTTTATTCAGAGTATTTTAGTCCCAAAGTATTGATAGTTGCATATCTTGTATGATTAGATATGCCAGTTCACTAGAAACATTGCTCTGATACCAATCTATCACACCCCTAAACCAGAGAGCAAAAATGTCCTGGGGCGGGGTGACTTCATCTTGTAATATCATCACAGTGTTTATAAATGAATCAAAGACAACATCATCACCATACATTCAATAATACAACATATAGTGTTTACATCATTGTATTTATTCACAAATTACATTCCAAAATATTAAATGTATTCTGAAACAAAAATATAGCAAAAGTCCATATTTTCCTGACGACCGACCTGTTCACCGTGTCCCTGAGAATACAAGTTATTTTGAAAAACGTCAACATTTATAATGTTGGTGAGTTCATAAGATTTTTGTATGAAAAACTTTGTAACATTTTGTAAACACCAAAAAATTCGATATTTTCTATAGAAATGTTTTGAGAGTTTTGTTTCAAATGTTTTAGTAAAGCATGTGTGTTCCAGTTTTAATAGTGTATGAAAAGAGAGTTCCAGAAAATCCTATATTTTCTACTATTTGTAAACTGCAGTGTGTAGTATGTAGTTTCCATAAAATCCGATATTTTCTGTTTGTAAAAGAGTTGTAGTCTTAAACCATAAGACCCGAGTAATGTAGTAAATGTATAGTTTGTACAATGTACCAAGAGTATAGTATGTGCATTCCGTAAATTTATTGTGTTTTTAATCCTTATGTGAGTCGTTATAACCACGTTTGATGTGACTGTTATTCTTGTCATGACGTTCTTCAGGCGTCGCTTGTTTAAGGTAAGATATTTGTCACCCTAGACTTGCCTAGTCTAGCTGTAGCGAATAACTCAGGTGTGGGGTGTCAACTTCGTATAGATCTATACACAAACTCTCAC